CCTTCTGGGACCTGTGAAGCCTCAGAGCATGAGCTGGGCTTTGCAGGCTTCTCCGCTACACTTTGTTTCTCTGCTGTGTGCAGGCGGTGGCCCAAACTTGAAGAAATACTCCTTCTTTATGGCCTGGCTTTTCTTCTCCACTAAGTAAACTTCTGTTGAAACATCTGACCATTTCACTCCAACTTTAGAGCTTGCTGCTGGAAGAGACAGGAATGGACAGTATCCCAGCAGGCTGCTGGAGGGCTAGTTTCAGCACAGCCCACAAACATACACTTAATTTTAGGCTTATTTTTAGCCGTGTGAAGTCACTGGTATTCTTCAGAAACTAAGCTTAAACACGCACTTTGTGCTTCTGATTGGATGAGAGACCGAGGACAGAACTAATTTTCTTGTCAGCTCTGAACCAAACAATTCCTGGGGAACAAAAAAACATCTAGTAAGAACTAATGAATACAAATCTTAAGCAGTAAAGCTATTTCTCCTGCAGGCTGAGGCGAACAAATACATAAGAAGAATACAGAAGAAAAGGGAATGGCCGAATTATTCTTAGTAAATACAAGCTAATGCAGCAATCAAAGGCACCAGATTGCATAAAATCTCTGGCGATAATTTTGAATATGTGCTATCGCTGTGCCAGCATTTATATTTCTCACAGTAAAAAAGGATGCTGGTGTAGGGGTTTTTTTTTTGCTAACATCCCAAGTGCACCAGTACTTCACTTTAATTGGCATTCACTATCAGTACCGTGGCTTCATTGCTTCAGTTGCACAATCTGACCATAACTGATTGCTTGCAGTTATTTGAAATGCAACTTTTCTGCTGGCAATTACTTTATTTACTGCTTGCCTGTAAAACAATAATGCCTTCCCTGGTGGGCACAAAGGCAGATTAACATCAGTAATTACTAAAGCAGATGTTTATATGCGAATGCCCATTTCTTAGAGGCAGATTATCTTCTGCATTGGCGTAAGGGAAAGGGATTCAAAGCGGGCGGTGCTGTCATCCCACAAGTGATTTGAGCAGCACTGGGACTCAGCAGAGAGAGCTGGGTAGCTCTGCCTGCCTCACCTCCATCTCACAGCAATTGCTCTCTGCAGGGTGATAATCGTTGACCTTATTGAGATCAGTCCTGAGAGTTGTTGGCATTTAATTCCTAAAAGTGACTGCCAGTGACTGAACAGGGCTCCGTGCTACTTGCACTTGCTTTCCGTTGGTTTTTTTTTTTTCCCCAAGAAATCCAGGGCTGCGCATTCAAGAGAGCTCAACACCTAGATTGAGGGCCTGTGTTTCCTCATAGCTCTGTTCCCGCTGAATTGCCTGAAAGGTGCACTCAGCACTAACTACTAAGCTTATTTAAAGTAGACACTCATTAGCTCCCTCCAGGCTACTGTGAAGAGCGAAGGAAGCATGGTTGTGTCTCAGAGGGACTGAAGGGAGAGTCTTTACTAATCCAGTTGTACTGCCAGGACTGAAATACGTTCAGAGCAGCCTTTTGGTGCTTTTGAAGCCTGTCCTGGCACATAGTGTTTTTCAGCTGAAGAATCTCCTTGCAGTCTATCCGGAAAAGCCACCCCTGGCTGCTTGCAGCGAGAGCTTGCCAGCATGTGGAGGCGTGTATACATGCAGAAGAGATGTGGCCGTGGTCCTGGTTCCCTGGGGCCTTTCAAATCAGCTGCCTAGATTTCAGAGACCCCCCTTTTGAAGATGAGAGCGAAGATAGGGCCCTGATTTTCCTGGACAAGTCATGGCATTGCCTCTAGTCCTCTCCTGAAAAAAAAATGCCTCTGCATGCCAGAGCAGGGAGTGGACAGAGGTGGCCATGGGTCTCGAAGGAAGGCAGAAGCTCCCTACTTCTCCCACCATCACTGAATATAAGCTGGTATGGGACAGGTTCGTTTCCATAAACAGAGGGCACTCTTCAACAGCAGTGAAACGGCTTTGCCTTTGGTATTGAATCACTCTCAGCCCCATCTCATAAACTGCTGACTGCCTTGCTCAAGAGGCTTTCAGCTTTCGAAAGCAATCCTTTTACGAAATGCCTTGCTTCTGTCACCTTGTGTTAGTTACGCAGCGCGGTGGGAAGAGAAGGGGGAACCATGTCAGCACCCCACCCTTCACTGCTCTAGATTCACATAGTGGGATGCAAAACACTGACCCCAGCATAGATTTGGCCTGCTGTCCCTTGGTTAAGAGACATTGAAACCAGATGTTTAGTGTTCGGTCATGCTTTTCCCATTGTTCCTGCCTCTATCACAGTACTTACTCTCTCTTGAGGGTCGTTCAGAGTACAGCTCGGTGGAGAAACTGTTATTCTTGATTAAAGGACTAGCTGCTTTTTCAAACATCCTTGTCTAATTGTACTTTGAAAGACGTGTCACAGTATTCCAGAGCTTTTCATTAGCCACCAAGTAGAGACATCTATAATTGTTCCTTTGAATGTTAAAAGAGAGATGAGGGATGTCAACAGCAAGGGCGAGGAATGTAGCAGTTATTTGGAGAAACGAGTATGCCTGGTAACATAAAAAGCTCACCAGTCCTGAGTGAAATTGAAACGTAGACAAAAAGGTAGATGAAAATATATTGGATATTGCACAAATGCTGTTGAACCAACCATGTAAGAAGACACTAAAACTCTATTTTTCTGGCTATACTGATAGCATACAGTATTACAAACTTTTGCAATGTTATCATGAGTCTCTTTCTATGATTCTATGCCAAGGCCAACTGTATGAGATTCAACAAGGCCAAGTGCCGGGTCCTGCACTTCGGCCACACCAACCCCATGCAGCGCTACAGGCTTGGGGAAGAGTGGCTGGAAAGCTGCCTGGCAGAAAAAGACCTGCCAGGCTGCCCAGGGAAGGGGGTGAGTCACCATCCCTGGAAGTATTTAAAAGACGGGTAGATGAGGTGCTTCGGGACATGGTTTAGTGGGCATGGTGTTGTTGGGTTGATGGTTGGACTCGATGATCTTGGAGGTCTCTTCCAACCTTAATGATTCTATGATTCTATGATTCTATGAGTCTCCTGCTGCTTGGTATATTCCTTAAATTACCGGCTCCTTTGGTCATCTGGTTATTCGAGAATTTCTGTTTTATTTGTATTAAAAAAAAGCGCCTCTGATAGAGAAAAATGGTTGCGCCCTTCAGAAACAAAAGGACAAAATGCAGTTTTATTTCATGAACCAGGTTCCCTTTATTCATCGATTGTAGAGCATCATTTTTTTCCAAGCCTTTTTTTCTCAAAATTGCTTTGGTTCAAGTCCTGATTTTTTGAGGTTTGGACTGGCAATAGTCAACAAATGCAGCTTGCTTCTGTTTTTGTTGTGGGTCTGCAGTCTCCATCTGGCACTGCCCAAGCCAGAGAACGAGGAACTCCGAAGGGCAAGTTTCCCTTTGCAGCCATTCTGCACAGCAGAGTGAGGCATGAACTGTGTCAAAGAGGAACTCTGTCAGCCACCCTTTTGCAGAATAAATGTTGGTGCATCTGTTAGGAAAGACAAAGAGAAATCCTGGCACCAAAGAAACTCCAGGGTCTGACATTGATGAGCATAGACCAGCTCTGCTTTCTGCAGTTATATGTGTTCAACTGAGTGAAGTGTTGATGACCAAGGAAGAGGACATGACATCGACTAATGTGCAACTCCTTTCAGACATTTAAAAAAGCTGTCAGGCATCCACCAGGTCTCCGGATGTGTCTCTGTTTTCTGTGGGAGGGAGCAGGAAGGCAGAAGGACCAGGGGAGATAACGGAATTTTGATATTGCTCGAGGATCATCAGTGCTCAGGCCCTCTAGCACCTGACTAAATCACTTGGCAGAAGGGGGCCAAACTGACTTCTGAGCTACAAATCCAGCAGACTCCTTTGCTTGGGTTGTACCTGGGGAGGAAACTCTAAGTGGGGATCATCAGTGACCTTAAGTGTCACAGTGATATAATGTCAAAATGCCCAGTGCACTTTTTTTTTTAGAAAAAGCAGGGTGTGGCAGACTTGGCACTGCTGCCGTTACTGGCAATGGGATGGCTCTTCCCTCACATGCAGTGCTTGTGGCCAGCGAGCTGCAGTCTTTGAGACCTCTCCCGCTCTCTCAAACTGAATGTAAACTTTGCCTCTAGGTTCAAAAGTTGGTGATGCGAGCAGGAAGGCAGACAGCGTTTCTGGAAAGCCTGTCTGCAGTGTATGGGAAGGGGTTGGGAATTATTCCTTGCAAAACGTTCCTTTGCCTCAGCTGCAGCTTGGGGAAGCTGTAGGCAGTGGTTTGATGAGGAGGAAACTTTTGGTTGAAACTCCATAGAGACACTTCCCCACCTGTGAGGAGCCGGTACATAGGACACTTCCCAGGGAGACAAGAAACTCAGGCTGAAGGCTCTGCTTCATAAAACTCGAGACAGAAACTTTTCCACATCTGTGCCCAGGCTGTCGCCTCTCGTGCAAGATGGTCCCTGTTTTGGAGAGGATGGTCCCTCTCTGTGTTGAGCCTCTTCCATACTGTGTGAATGATTATGCCTAAGGAGGGGGATGAACCTTTTCTTTCCAGAAGGTGTCACCACCCCTCATATTACTGAAGCAAGTCTCCTTTGCTTCCTCAGTCTTCTCTGCTGGAGTGGCTTTGTGGCACCAATTATTCATTGGGCCAGTGACAGACTGGCATGTGAGAAGAAACTGAAACCCTGGGCTTCTGAGGCAGAACAGGGCCAGCTGAATGGGCATGCTGTGGCATTGAAGCAGAGGTGAGAGGGAACGCAGCTGTGTTGTCCTGTACCTCGCACAATGTCCGCTTGCAGAAATAACCATGAGATCACCAGGACTGTACCGAGAGCTGACTTACCGCCTGCCGGTGTAAGTTTAAGCCACACTGGATACCTTAACTCCAATGAGGTGACCCAAGCAGAGCTAAGACTTTGCTTGCTTGTTTGCCTGCAAGGTCAAAGCTCCCTGACACCCAAAGGCACTGGTTTTCCCTCTCATGGTGCTTCCCTCGTGCAGTAGTGTGAGGCACAAATCCCTGCATGTGCTGTGTGGGGCTGGTGAGCATCTCCAGCGGCTGGGGGCTGGGGCACTGTTCGATGGAGGCCTGAGCTGGCAGGGTCAGCACAGGGCGGTGGGAAGAGACCTGGCAGGTACATTGGAGGTGCAGTGACCGATTTAGGCGAGAGCTGGCTGTTCCCGTTAGCAGCAGTCACTGACAGTGCAAAAGAGAGCCTTCGCCTCTAAAGACACTAGGCGAGCTCTAACCTTGAGTTTTAAGCTGATCCAGTCTGGATCCAAGGCCAGTTAGGGAAAAGATAAATGGAGACAGACTCCTGCAGCCACTAGCAGCTCTGGCTCACGTCCCAATACCCACATCCCAGTCCCTTCTCTGGTGCTTTCGGTGGTGCTCATGCCTTTCTCTAGCTGTAAAAACGACCCCAACGCCCTGTCCTTTTTGAATTAGTCGCACAGCTTGTTGCCAACCACAGGGATTTTTCCAGTGATAACTCTCATGCTGGATATTGCTAGCATACAGGCAGCCTTTCCAGTCAGTGCACAAGCCCTTTGCTTTTCATTATTAGGCGTGCTGCAGATATTCAGGTGCAAAACGTCACCGTGTCTTAGCCTAACAACGCCACGAGGCCTTAAATCTCACTGGAGCTAGATCCCTCATGCTGTATTAGGTCCTGTCTTTCCAAACTTGGGATTCCTGACGGGATGGGGGAGATAGGCTTGTGGTTATGAAAGGAGACTGGAAGTTAAGCGATCTGTCTGGGAAGTCACCCCTGCCGCAGATGCCCCTCTGACCTTCAACGGAGCAATTAGTGTAGATGAGGTAACACCAATGCTGTGGAGACAGATGCAGGAAATGACACATGGTGTTTTGTGCTGGGAGCCACATTTGTAGCTTAAAATGCTCTGTGGTTGTTATTTTCCCTTCGCAGCAGAGGGAAATAAGTGTTAGAATAACCCACGAGGAGGCAGAGCCTGGAAAAAGTCTCCAACTTCCTGGACCTGTGTGGAAAACATCCTCCTCCACCCATACCCCTGTGGAGAGCCGTGGGCAGCGTAATGCCAGTGCCACGTCCTCACCTACCTCCTGTCCCCTCCACGAGGGACAGGGGACACAGGTGTGTTTCCACAAGCAAGATGTCTTTAGGGCAGAGGCCTTTCCCCAGCGCAGAGAGATTTCAGGGGTTACTGAAACCCTCTCCTCCTCCCAGTGCTGGCCTTTCTGAAGAGAAAAGAGAGCAGCACCAAGAGGGACCTCCGAAAGGGGAGCTTCTGGTCAGGCACCTTGCCTGACTATAAAGCCTGTCCCAGGGCACCCCGAGTCCCCTCACAGGGAAGCCTTGCGTCAGGCAGCCTAGCCCGGCGCTCGGGCTGCTCCTCAGACAGCCTGACGGTGCACAGGTTGGTCTGGGGCCTAAAGGCTGACGCTGCCCATCCCTATGGTACGCTCCTGCCGAGCGGGGGTCACACGGCAGCGCTGCCGCTTGCCGGAGGGCTGAGGGGGCGGGACGGGGCGGTGTGTTTTGGGCGGAGGCCGCGGCCCCGCCCGCCCCCGCCGGGATTAAAATGGCCGCCGCCCGAGCGCCGGGCAACAGG